AAACGTTACTAGAAAATCACAAAGGGAAATATGTTTTTCTTTGACGAAGACAAGGTGTGCTGATGAGGCTGTCTGTATGCTTCTAGAGTTACTCTTTATCAAATATAGGGATCCCATAAAAGTTTCAAGCTCTCTACTGTATCTCATTTGCATATCTGTGGCCATCTTCACAGGAAGCAGGGCGATACCCAGCTTATAAAGAGATGGTGGCAGAATACAGGTGGCTCAATAAGTGTATGTATCTGTTTTTCCATTATCTAGATCTTTAACGATCACATAACACGTTGATACTTTGAGATGCGTTTTAGTTGGATGATCTTTCGTTTTCTTCCTCAGTGTCCAACGGGACTCAGAAATCCTCCTCCCAGGGTTCAGAATCCAACTCCTCTGGCTCCTCTCTGTCGTCTGGGACTCCGGTGAGCTCTCTGAGCGGCCTGTCGCAGGTCATGTTCCCTCCCAGTATGCCCTTCTGTTCAGACATGGTGGATGTCTGCATCTCTACAGAGGACCAGAGGACAGGGTATTTTCAGTTAGATTCTTCCAAATAAGAACACAACGACAATAAGAAATACGAGACCAAAACAACATTTTATTTTTACAGATCTTTTTACTTTACAAACTTTTTTTTAAAAGTCTCTTTTCCACTGCAGACATATTCAATCCATACCAGTTAGCGTTGAGCCTTTCAAAACAAGATTTTAAAAAACGGTTTCCTCATAGAGCGGCCCACACTGATTATTATTGTTGTATTCATTAGAGAAAGTTGACTTACAGACTACACCGGACTTCATGGTAGTTTTTTTGTCCAGGTTTGAGTCCGGGCGAACGGAGACGGCCATGCAGACGGACCTTCCATCCCAGAGGTCGGCTGCAGAAACCACGCGCAGCCTGGGACGAACCACGCTGCTCAAAGACACAGTGATCCGTTCTGGGGAGGGCGGGGGGACCACAGAGTCCCCGAAGACAGCCGTGCTGATGGCCCTCAGCCGACCGAGCCGACCAATCAGCCGCTCCCAGAGTCAGGTCACTGTGGCAGGTGAGGAGTAGAAAGAGTTGGTGACACGATGAAATAATGATGGAATAATAAGGCCTCATAAATGACTGTCTGTTGCTATCCAACCACAGAGATCAAGCAGAAGAAAGAGAAGCACCCAGAGAAGAGCGTCCTGCAGCGCTCCAAGACTTTTGTCAACTTGCTCTTCAGGGGGGGGCGCAGGGGGCGCAGGGGGCGCTCCCAGTCGCCGTCCACACACAAAGCTGGTAAAAGTAGTTTTTACCTCTTGTTCTCGAAACAAAAGCGAATGACTTTTTGACTGATTGTTCTCTGTGCTGTTTTCAGGGGGCAGACATGTCAGTGTAATGCCACATTCAGAGATGCTAGGAGTGGTGGAGGACATGGCCCGCAGGCTGCTGACGGAGGAGGAGGTGGCCGCTGTGATGAAGACGTGCCGAAGGGTATGAAACTAAACTGAGACAATGTCGTTTTTACATTTGCTGACCTTTGGACTCTCCATGTAACAGTCTTTGTTTGCAGTTTTTAATCACAAAAACAGATTTCACATTGGTTCTGAGTCATTATAAACTGGGTACTATTTTTTTAACATTACCCTCAGTACGTGGCGGATCGATCGGTGGAGAACTTGATACGCCACCTGTTGGCTGTGCTGGACAGACCGGAGAAGCTGCTGCTGCTCAGAGAAGTCCGGTAAGCAGAGCAAGGAAAAGAAAAATACTCACAAAATAAAGACTTCTGCCCTCCAGTCTGTGTAAATCTAGATAGAGAAACTGTAGTATTACAAACACTGCCAGAAAAGTGAATAAGGATAATCTTATTACATCCAAATGTTTCACAATAAGACACAGATGACTTAATTTAACATCCTTTGTCACGCAACACAACAGTGAAAATGTGTTATTATTATATACCCTGTGGTCTTGTTTCTCAGGATGCTGCTTCCTCCTCCTGACCTGAATGCATTCAATAACCTGGTGACCCCGATCGAAGTCGAGGCCTACGATATCCTCAAGTATCGTTCAAGTGCGTGAGATGCATGAGAAATACTTGGCACATATCTGAACAGTCCTTTTTAGGCTCCTTTTTGTAACATTGTTTTCTTTCTTTATTGTAGTCAAAACTCCTCTTCTTCGCTCTCCCACATCTGGTCGAGTACCAAAACGGCGCCTCATCACTCCTATCCCGGGTCAGTACCCTCAACTCTAAATACATCTTTTATTTTTTATGTTAGTCATAACCTGGTAATGATTCAGAAAAACCTAGCTTGAATTTGATTTAATTTCACTTTATTTGTATAAAAGGGTTTTCCTGCAGTTGTTTCTTAGAATTAGAGTGATAGCGTTCTGAGGGAGATATTATATCTATCGAAGGCTATTTCTGCCAAAGAAAAAAACAACAACCTTGAAGTAAGGTGTGACAGGAATAAAAACACTCTATTCAAAATGAAGAAAATGTGTTTACATTTTAAATCAAGTATTTCAAGCAGAATAATGTCTTACTGTCTAATAAATCTGATAAGCCATGAGAATGTATTTGTATCCTGCATTCATTTTTATATAAAGGCTTCCATAGATCCCAATTTGTAACCACAGCCTGAGGTAACTCTGCTCAGATCATACAAAAGGTTTGTATATAACCTGTGTATCCTTTCAGATTTCAGGGGAGGCTTTGAGCTCCACAATGCTGAGGAGGTGAAGAAGGAGAGCCACCTGCTGGACGAGCTGGAGAAGCTCAGTGTGCAGGGGCCTCGGGGGGCCAGGGAGAGGCCCCCTACCTCCATGTCCTTCACCCCGCTGCTGGACATCCCAGTGGACGGATACGACTCAGAGTCCAGAGACCTCAGATTGCCCTCCTCCAGCGCCATGCTCCCCAACTGGCTGCTGGCCCACAACGAACACCCCCGCCCCCCGCTCCGCACAGACATTGGCACCATTCGCTCTGTCCACTTTGACGAGGTCTCGCTGCATTCTGCCTCAGACACCTCCTCAGAGAGAGGCAGGTCCCCGTTCAGAAACGGACACTCCGTGGGTAAAAAGGAGAAAAGTGGAGACAGGAGTAAAGGAGGCGTGTTCACGCTGCAGAGTGCGGAGCGCAGGAGTCGCCCCTTGTTGACGCAGGTTTTCAGATCGAGTCCGGATCTGCGAGCGGGGGGGGAACAGATGAACGGACTCCAGGCTTCCTCTGAGAACGGACTCAACGGATCTGAGTCTGAACAGGAGTACGAGCTCAAAACTGTCAGCATCTCCAAGACCAAACAGTCACTGGGTAAATGTGTTCCACTGATTGCATTTATATTATAAATAGTACGATTTGTCATAATACGGAGAATCTTTGAAGTCCAAGTTTTTAGATATTTCTATATATCTCTGAGATTACCGTCTCCACCCAACAGACAATAACCCTAGTGTGATTGGATTTGTTTTTGGTGAGCATCAATTTTTAGGCAGACATCTCAAGAATGTGGACAAGTCCAGCCAAATGTAGTATAAATATTTTGCACAGCCTCTTCACTGCACATGGTACATGGTTAACCTGTATTGGTGGAACACTTTGTAGTGTAAGTACACAAATCTAAATACTTCACTGACCTCCACTCTTGTTCTGGTGTTTCAGGCATCAGTATATCTGGTGGGATGGAGTCCAAGGTTCAGCCGGTGGTGAAGATCGAGAAGATCTTCCCCGGAGGAGCGGCCTCCACCTGTGAAGTGCTCAAGGTGACACACTAAATGAAACACCCTTTCAATACTTCATACAATCAAACCATCCAATGTGTAATGGAAACCAATATACTTTATGAAGGTCACATATTTGTATTACTTTCCAATAGTATGTATAAGTATTTCCTGAAATAATCAAATGATCCAATCTTGATAAATGATGTTCCTTCAAGTTTTAATGTGTTTATGAAAACAGATGTTGAGGTTCCTAGCTGCAGTAGCTAACAGTTACTACCTTGCACCTCACTGTGACTCTCACCCCCCCTCTGCTGTCCCCAGGCTGGATTTGAGTTGGTGTCTGTGGACGGAGTCTCCCTGCAGGGCGTGACCCATCATCACGCTGTGGACATCATCCGAAAAGCCTTCAGCAACAAGGCCAAAGACCCCATGGTGTTTGTGGTCAAAGTCCCCAAAAACATTTTGAAAGGAGACTGAAACTCTCATCATGAATTTATTCCTGGGACTAAACGCAGAGACTTGAACTCCGGCCTGAACACAGAGATGTGCTCACAGAGGTCAGGTATGTTATTTTGCCATTCATGTTAAAGTTTGTAGAAGTTGTTGATTACATGGACACTGGTAACTGTTCTAAGCTGAATAACAAACTTAGCATAGAGCAGATTACTGGTATTTGAAATGGTAATGATACAATAAATGAAAAGGAATTTTGTCAAAAAATTACTTAGTACAATAGAACTTAAGAAGGGCAAACAAAAATAAGATTGACGGTCAATTAGTTGTGTCCTTAAAGCTGGAAATCATAAAAAAAGGTGCTCCTGGTGCCTTAATATTTCCCTTTAATCACATCCCAGGAGCCAATGCCTGTTAATAACATTTATTTTTACATTTTGTCGTATTAACATCCAATCGAAAAATACTGCAGAGCAGAAGTGTTTATCTGATTAGATGTGCAGGATAACAGACTGCACATTGTAACCAGAGTGCCTTTTTTAAAAGCCTTGAAAACGTAGAATATAAAAGTCTTACAGAGCGTTAAATTGTAATCTAACTTCTGACCTGCAGAGGGCAGTCATGTGACAAACATTTCTGTTGTCTGCAGCATTTAATGAGAAATACAGTGAACGCCTCACCAAACTACAAACATTGCCTAAAAGTGAACAAGAGGAGAACTGTTGAATACATAATCCAGATGTAAAAGGATATGTATAACATTGGAATGATATACTGTTTTGTATTCAGACGATTAAGAGTCATTTCCATCTTCTGTAAGGCTTTCATGTTGTTGAAGAAATCTCCATCTCCACAGCTTTTAAATTATGTATTTTTTAATTAAAAACATAGGTTTGTTCAAGAAATGTACAGCATGAAAATAAACGTTTTATGTCTTCATACAAATACTGTGGATTATAAAATGATAGTGAGGAACCAGAAGGACCATCCACACAGCATCAATATACAGATCCAGGACACACATCTGTAGGAGCAAGATATAATGTGCGACATTGCTTTGGTCTATTCACAGTGGCTGTTTTATTATTGAGATGGACAGCATCTCAGGTATGTACTGTACTTTATGGGTTCTCTACAGAGGATGAGTTTTCAATCAGCAGAAATGAAACAGTATCTTGGTTTGGTCCTACAGGAAAGTAAACGCACATGAAACGGATTATAACGTTTGGTGGTAGTTGTCTCTTAACACCAAAACACCCTTCATTTAGTGCACAATCCCTTTAGTAATGTCAAAAACACCCAATTGTTTAACACTTCTAGAGATTATAAATTAAGTATTTTTTTCTATTTATCCTTTACAATGCTATAAACTCCTGTGCTTTTACAACCTTTCGTAATGTTGTATTCCTTGTGATGGGAATGCAGTCGTGATAAAGTATACCTGCTCTTTTGCTGCCATCACATGCCAAATGCCTGCTGTTACATTTGATTTACCTAAACTTTTACAATATCATGACATACATATATATTTATCAATATTGCAGTATATAATTACTGTACATATATTATGGTTCTCAAACACTACAGGAAAGTGATTTATTTGTGATTTCTGACGTGTACTGAATGGAAGGTGTTAAGGTCGTATTTAATCCAGATGTTACTGTGTTCAATGACATTAGACTGTACAGATGTTCATAATATCATTTCACCATTAAGGGTAAAGTATTCAACTGGAGGAGGCCTAAGCTTTGTGTCCCTCAAACTGGACTTTATATTATTAAAAAAAACAAAATGTGTGCCATATGACTGAAAAGTTAAAGTTTTTGCTCCCTACAATTTCATCTTGCTACATCTACTGGTACTTGTTGGTGATGATGAGTGGATTCACCATCATCAGCACCTCTCTCTGATGCTCTCACTCTGAATGTGTGGCGTCTCACTTCAACTGTTCATCGACAACAAGCGTGGGCTAAATACACTGATCAGAGCTGACACAGAGTGGGAGGGTGGTGTTAGAGCCAGCCTGGAAGGTGGAGTCACAACCAACTCAGGAGGAGGTCTGGTGAAGTTATTCACACACAACAACCTCTCTGACAAACGCCTGGTACTTATCATTGGGATAGTTTCAAGCAGGGTTATATGAGGTACTTGCACAGTCAGTGTACACCTACAATAGATGAGGATAAACACGTCCCCAGTTTGGAGGACCGGACAGGAGAACCAGCACAGAGGCTAATCCTGGTCCTGCTGTGGGAAGGGGCCGGCAGCTAAATGAATTTAAGCCACCAAAAGTAAATCAATATCATTTTAAGTGTACACTTTTAATATCTTAGCTGCTTTACCTTACCATCCCTTTTCCAACATTTGATTTCCGATTTGGATTTTGTATTAGTACCTCATACTTAAGAATATGGACTATAGCTTTATTTCAGGACCAGAGGACTGAGGTGTCCTACAAATGACTAATAGAGGTCATTGGCTTTTAAGTGGGACTCCTTGGAGAATAGACCAATGAGGCAGAATTTATGGTAATGAGTTATGCGATATCTTGCTTATTTGTCATGTCAACAAACGGCACAATAGAAAGCAGATCTGTGACGTAAATAGTTAACTGACAGTAGTGCAAATCAAAGATGGAGAGACACAGGTTAAATTTCCGTGGCGGCGATCTCATCAAAGTTGATCTCATTGCCGCTGCCCTCGTCCTCCTCTCTGCTCTCCAGTTCGTGGCTGAGCTCCTGCAGGTGCTGCTCCAGCTCTCTGTTCCTGCGATACATCTGCACATAGTTCTGCTGCAGCTGCTTCTGGTAGCGGATAACTTTGTCCTTCTCCTCCTGCCATACCCTGCGCTCCTCCTCGAACCCCCCCGCCTGCTGCTCGGCCCGCTGCCGCTCGTAGGCCAGCTCCGCCCTCATCCTGTCCATCTGCACCTTCATGCTCTGCAGGGCCTCGCTGCTGCTCTGCCGCTGGGCCTTCGCCTCATCACTCTCGTATGCGAGCATGTGTTCCTCTGCTTCGTGGAACACCTGACACTGTCTGTTTCCTGGGCCCTGATTGGCCAGAGCATCTCTGAGGTGAGCCATCTCTCCCTCAAGGCGTCCCACCTTCTCTCGGAGCAGCTCTGCTTCGCTCTTGCGCCGCTGAAGTTCGTTCTCGCACACCTCCAGCTCCAGGGTTCGTGTGCGGGTGGTGCCGTGGGCCTCCTGGAGCAGGACCTGGGTGTTGGTCAGTTCTCCACGAGCCTCTCTGAGCTGACCCCGCATGGAGACGATCTCCCCCACACGCTGGGCCAACTCCACCTGCACCTCCTTCAGTTGCTGCTTCAGCAGCGAGATTTCCCCCGACTTCTGACACACCTGAGGGAGGGAGACATGTTTAGGATGTGTATTCCTTTTTCAGTATTTTGGGGAGCTCATGCATATCAATATTAAGGTTTAAATAAATAGGCTTGCAACGGACTGTAGCTTTATCCTTTAATCAGCCAATGCTTTAGTCTAAGAATGGATTCATTGTTTTGTCTATGAAATTGCATTTCAACTGACTTTTCATTTTAGATTTAAAAGCATGAAATAACTGTCCTAGTAGACACATTTTTACTTCCTGTATTGAGTGAGCAAATGAACGACTAATAATCATTCTGTCCAACTGCAGTTCATTTAATTAGGAGAATAAACATATCTGTAAATATTAGGGCCGGGACTTTAACGCGTTAATTAAGATTAATTAATTACACAAAAATTAACGCGTTAAAAAAATTAACGCATTTTAATCGCACTTATTTTTGCACCGTGGAACGTTTCTCACTGGATGAGTTTCAGGCGTACCGATTATACTGGAGCACCAACTAACGTTCATGACTTCAGACAACAACAAACCACAGTGAACAACAGTGGGAAATGTTGTTTTAAAAAACGGACGGATGGAAGCGTTGATAAGAGCACGGTTGTGTGCAAATTATGCAAAAAGGAATTCGCATATCACCGCAGCACATCAAACCTCAAGTATCACCTCAATGCAAAACATATAGCAGCTAGCGTGGAAGCTAGCGTGGACGTTAGCCTCTTTTATCGCGTTCACACCAAAATGAGCCGGTACTAAAATTAGTTAATGAGAACCTTTTTACCCCCACGAAAGTCCCTGATAGAGAGCAGAGAGCTGCTAGAGAGCAGGGACTTTCGTGCGGCTCTCTTGTGAGAAAAGAGCTATATTTCTGATTGGCTGGGCGGATTGCAAACCATGCCCCGTAAAACTCCCAAAAAGTTTTGTGAAGCCGCCATTTTATTATCCTCGCATTAGCATTATTAGCATTAGCCCAGCGCAGAAACGCAGAGAGACTAACTTATGGCAACACAAAATAAAACATGGGAGCGGTGGAGATGAGGAGGTGTCGGCGTTCTGGCGATTTACTCGGAAGGCTTCAGTAGAAGCTGCTGGGACTCCCAGCAGCTTCTACTGAAGCCTTCCCCAACTCCGGGGACTTTGGGTGGCAGTATACGCCGTGAAGTGGTTTGCGGCCTGCCAGTAAACCCAAAGCAGAAGAAGAAGAAGTGACGTCAGCGGCTTCATTTGCCTAATCCACCCCCAGGTTCAAAAAGTTCTCATGAACTAAATTCTCATGAACCTTTGTGGGAAAAGTACTGCGGTGTGAATGCGCCTAATGGTATACTAAAATCCATGTGAAAAAAAATTACTTCTCACTGTTCTTAGGTCAAATATGTATATGCGATTAAAAATGCGATTAATTTCGATTAATTAATTACAAAGCCTCTAATTAATTAGATTAATTTTTTTAATCGAGTCCCGGCCCTAGTAAATATATCACAGTGAAGCTGCATCAGATTGATGCTTTACAGTCAAAGTGATGGTTTAAAATAGCAGTGTTTAAGGCAATACGAGTGATATTGACTTTAAAGAAGAATGTGTAATGGTTAAATCAACAAGGATGACACTGAGAAACTTCAACATGACAGCCCAAACATTTGTATGCGGTCATTACACGACTACTGTATAACCTGTCAGTTTAGTACTCCTGTAGTGCAGCTCACCTCCCACTTGCTCTCCTCCAGTCGCGGCCCCAGCTGGATCTTATCGTGCTCATAGGAGGTGCAGCGCTCCTCCAGCTGCTCCCGCTCCTTCAGAAGCTGAGCAAAGTCCTCCTGCAGCTTCTTCTTCTCCTGCTGCAGCTGATAAACCTGCAGTCAGAAACAGCCAGTATCAAAAGTTGACCCGAGCAATTCGGACCCAAGCATCCATGATAAGAGCCTGTCTGTTCTCTAAATACTGGAAAAGGTGTTTACATGTGTCCTTTCTTATCTCCTTTAGCACAAGGTACACTGGACCAAAGAAAAGGAGATAAAGCTGTACCACAATTCCTTGTGACAGCAACATGTAAAAAGATGGCAGACCCTAGTCATTTACGTAGCCTAGTGCAGTCGTGTTCTCCTTGTTGTCGTTTCCTTAAGAATTTTCCTTTCTAATGTTTTGTGTCAGTGTCAAGGAAAAGTTAGGAGAAGACACAGGTCTTTTTGTGACTATTTGGCCACAGCCCAGAGGTTCTGACCTGCAGCTGCAGCACCTGCTGTGCACGATGGGCCTTCTGCGAGGCGACCTGCATCCTGGTGGCACAGCCCTGCCTCAGCTCCTCCAGCTCCAGCTCAAAGCGCCTCTGCTTCTCCTCGTAAACCTGTAACCACAGACAAAACATATTCATTAGGACTTTCCATACGAAACTAAAAGGTCCTGCTATTGACGGATGAGTTTGCAATTATATACAGCGTCAAAGTATTAATTACCGCCCTGTTTCAAATAGTAGTGAAATGGTGAAAATTAAACATAAACCTTGACAAATATATAAGCATGGAATTTTCATTTGTTTTCACTGCAAACTCCTAGGGAACAGGACAGAGGGGCAGTGTGTACCAACCTGGCAGATTGCAGCTTCATTCTCATCCAGGTTGTCTCTGAGTTGATGCAGCTCCAGCTCCCTCTCCCTCAGCTTGTCCTCCAGGTCCCTCACCACCCCCTCGTACCCCTCCACCGGGCCGGGGGAGCGCCCGCTGGACCCGCTGTCGGACAGAGGCTGGCCCCGGCAGCTTATGGAGCCGGAGCCCGTGCTCTTACTGGAGGACGAGCGGCCGCTGTCGGAGTTGGAGTGTCCGTGTGCACCGACAGGCGGAGCGCTCTTCATGGGCTCCAGGTGGCCTGCAGAGGCCTCTCCTGACGCCTGGCTGTAGCCCCCGCTGTAAGGGGGGAGACTGGAGAGGGAGTTGCGTCCAGAGTCGGTCAGCTGGCAGGAGTGGCTGCTGCTGCCGCTGTTACGGGTCCTGCTGTGCGAGCTGCATTTCTCCGAGCTGGAGGGAGACAGCTCTGTGTGTGAGGGGCTCAGCAGGTTCAGGTTGTTCTGGCTCTCCGATGTGTTGGCGGAGTGGCGAGGGGAGAGGTACTGCATGGAGGTACGGCTCTTGGGAATGACAGGTTTGAAGGCAGTGGGCCGCAGCACTGCTTTCTCCATGTTCTGGAGGAGGAATATAAAATATGATAAATACTGAGATAAGAAAGAAAGACTAATAACAAGTGCTTAATATTAATAGTTAACACACGGAAACTCTGAATATCTCTGGTTTGGCCACTGTTGTCAATGTGGTAAGGTCATTTATGTGATTTTTTTAATGCAGTATTGTTTGCATTCCTTAGTGGATATACCCCCTTTAAAGTTTCGAAGTACAGAAAAATACTATAAATAGAGTTGCCAGTGTATTGGGCACACCACACTAAAATGAATGCAGTTTAATGCAATAGTGCTGCAATATATCAAACATTTATGTTATGTTATGAAGGTGTATTAAACCTAGACACCTCTCTGTATAATGCAATACAGTGTAAAGAACCACAGATTACATCTCATGGTTATAACAAATATAATGCTTTCTAAAATGTATTTATTCAAAGACTCACCTTCTCGAGTTTCCCTGACACAGGAATCAGTTTAGGAGGAGGCCCCCCCATGTTCCCATTGAACCCTGACCCTTTAGTCTCATATGCGTCACTTCCTGGACTCCCACATGTCACACGGTTGTCATTCCAGTCGCCTATAAAGTCCTCATTCAGATATGTGAAGTTCCCACTCTCCTTCTCCAAACCCCTGATGGACATCATGGAGCTTTCCTTCTCGATGCAGTGCTGTAGTAAAGAGTCTGGGGGCGACTCAGAGCCCAGGCAGGCAGCACCAGGCGTGGCCCTCCGGACCCTGGCTCCCAGCTCTCCCACAGATCGGTGGTCCTGGTAGTGTCCGGGGCGCGAGGCGATGAGGCTGCTGACAGAACCCATAGAATCCAGAGCGGAGGGGGGAGCGTTGATGGGGGGTGAGGAGCCGGAGGCGTGTCTCCTGTGATGTCCTCCACCGAGGCCTGGGTTGTGGGACTCAGCAGATAAGGGCAGAGCCTGAACCAGGGCCATGGTGGCAGCTCAGTGGGGTCACTCGCTCTGAGGGGGAAACACAACAGAGGGAGTCTCACTCATCGGTTTAATACACGTTCAAACAGTTCCAAGTCAAGTCTGGTAATGCTGATAGAAAGTCTCAAGTCTAACAAGACAAACCCCGGACACTCAAGTCATTCAAAACAAATCCATGTCAAGTTTTGTAAAATCATGTCTTGAGCTTTGAGTCCTTCAGAGCAAGTCGAGTCTTTAGGCATCAAAAGCAAGTATTATGGTGTAAGAGATACTTCCAAGTCACATTTCAAGTCTTATAGCAAGTCAGAATTACTGCAAGTCAAAGTCAAGTCTTATAAAAGCAGTGTTTCAATATTGTAATATGTCTTGTTATGATAAGTATCAAGTCATTCCTCATTATTTCAAGTCAAATCTTTTTTAAGATAAGAGGAAGTTAGATCTATTTTTTTAATAGCAGGTCCACTCAGGTGATTCAGGACAAGTCATGGCTCAAAACGTCATAATTAATCGTGTCATCAATGATTAATGATCATTGAATGGGTATTTAAACAATTTCCTAATTGTATGATTTGAAATAGCTGACACACAACTGACCCAATCGGTTGCTATATCTCATCTCGGGAACTAAATACTGGTTAAACTGCCATGTTTTTCCTCCCAGATACTAATAGGGTCAAATTCTAGCTGTTCAATCTCCACACCAGGGTGCTTATGAGGAATGCCTACAACAAAAGGCAAAACAGAGATGATATACAGTAGACTGAAGCATACAAATGCCCCACAAGTCCATGGTGGCCCACACACAGAGAACCAGGACAGGCCATTCATGAAGTCCATTCAAGCAGCACTAACAGGGCTTGAGGCATTAGGCTTGCGAGGCATGAGGCAACAGAAGAAAAGGGTCTGTTCTCATTTGAGATGTAGAATGGCTCCTAACATGCTGGCATCTCTCCCTGACAGCAACAAAGGCTACTGCCTCCACCCATCTTATCAGCCTTAACCTAAAAGTTCATAACTGTGGATAATAGACACAGAGAATAGGAGGCAGCTTAAACTTGCCGTGATACTTTAGCGGAGGGTGTTTAAGGGCCGTTCACGACAATATTAAAATACATATTTTTTCCTCTTGTGGCACTTTCTAATAATCAAGATCGCAGCATCAAGGCATTCGTCCATGAGTGGATGGACACTTCATTCTGTGCAGTGATGTGGTAGAAAGAAAATAGTTCAGAAATGAAAATGTTCACAACAAGCTTTGTGGATTATCCAAAGTAACCGGGTCATGAGTTCAAGAAATAAGTTTTGCTTCTAAATTCATCTAGTTTCATTGTATTGTAGAAAATGAAGACATCACTACCGATACCTCCGACCCTTAGCAATTCACACCAAAACTATTTTAAAGATTGATAAAAGCAGTACAGGTAATAGGAAAAATGTGTATTTTCTGTGAGTAAATCTTAAAGTATGAAGTTCTGTTAAATAATTAAATGTAGGAAGCACAAGCACTTACTGTTCACTCGCTCACTCTCACAGGACTGCTGGTAAATATTGACACTATGAACAGGCGCATACTGACTATGACATCAACAACTTGTCTTGTGGATGGTGAACAGTTGAATGTTGTGTGGAGAACAATGAGTCAACAGGACGCATGATGATGAGGTCACAGTGCACAATGGACTACAGCAGAGCCTCTCCTGCTCTAAAAGCCTTTCAGTGAGTCACAGAATATGAGGATATCCGACTGAGGGGTGCGTCCTGTTCTTCAGTTTCAGTCTTGTCTGGCAAGTCAAAAGCATTTAAAGTATGGTAAGATTGTTCAATACGTCACTCACTGTAAGTGAATCTTGGAAAGTAGTACGACTTTGCCTCCTACTCTGTACCGCTCTTTACCTGGAGAACAAAATCCATGTTCGCTAATAAGGTGAAATGAGAGTGACAGCAGGCAGGCTGGTCAGACACACTGCACCTGCCGGGAGAGAGCCATGCCAAGTCCTCTTACATCCTGCCAAGTTCACAGAGCGCCTGCAAGGCTTCCACTGTGATTGAACACTGATTACTACACGTTAATTAGCTTAATCAATGACAGGCTGATCCCTACTTACACTCATAATGACTGAATTACACAAATTAATGAGAACTGGAACTGACATATTGTAATGTGTTATACGTAAACACTGCCATTTCTTTTTTGTAAAATATGTAATGCAGCGTTTGTTCAAACTTTGTTAGTTCCAATACTGTCATGAAGGTGGTACAGCTTTTTTTTTTTTAAACTGTTGTCAGTACAACACTGGTGTATTACTGTACTATAATCAGAAAGTGAAACGCATGGCTTCTCAAATCCAGGTAGTCACACATGAAAAAGTTAAAAGGAGATTTTAACATTAACATTGTTATTTCAAATGTATCCTTCTAAGTGTTATACTTTGTATGCCATCTAAATCCTCCATTGATTCTCTTTGGTGCATCCGCACATACAATGGAGTGTAAAATATGTGTCAGTGTGCCTGTAAGGATTCACACTGCATTATTCAAATACGTGGTGTCTTCAAAAGCAGTGTGTGGGTTAATCATATGTTATTTCACTATAGACTGAGAAAAGCTAATTAGTCCTTGATGATATGTATTAAATATAATCCTCTCTGAATAGGAGGAAATCAGATAAAGTATGTCTATGGTTTAGCCGTCAGTGAAACCCCATATTATCACAATGTCTCTAGAACAAGGTCTAAACAACTCTACAGGTCTTGTTACAAATTTGACCCAAATATCCCGAATTCATGTGTTAAATGCGGTACTCTTCTTCACTGCGTATGGGTCTGCCCATTTATTCAGACTTTCTGGAAGGAAGTTCTCAACATCCTTTTCCAGGTCACAGGTGTGAAATTGTCATTATTCCCTAAATTATGCATTCTCTGTATATGTCCTGTAAACTACACACTAAACAAGGTGATGTTTTAACATTTGCTTCTGCATGGCAAGTTAAAACTAACCAAAACCAAGCAATATAAAAAGTATTCAATCTTCTCAGGAGTGTGTTAAAGCTTAGTGTTGTCATGTTCTTCTACGGACAAATTCTTTATTCTTATTCCGCCGGGTTATTTTGTCCCTCTTCTGCTCCCACATTCCACATCGCAGAAACTCCGCTCAAACATCAAAACGTTCAGCTCGATTGGGAATCGATGGCTATTACTTTTCTCATTCATAACTTTCATAATTCCAGAGATACATCCCATAATTCATCACCTTTTTAACATGGAAGTCAATGGAGAAACTCTTCAGACTTGAAAAATCTTCATGCGACTTCAACTGCTAACTGTTCCTTCATACTTTCACTCAGGAACCTCATTCCAACTTTAAAATGTTACACATCTTTCTGACATTATTCGTGTTACACAACTTTTAAATCTGATTCATACTTTTAGAAATATTAAACATTGTTCAGACCTTGGTAAAGAGGCTTTCTTCAGATTTTAACATTAGTGTATATTGCGCAGCTCGTTAAAGCTAGAGTGCGTGATGTCACAGCTAGAGTGGAGGACAGCTTGAAATTTGCCTTCATATGTTTGTTTTTTTAAACCTGCTATAATTCCCAAACCTTACATTTTCATGAGAAATGTAGGAAAACATCTCGTAGCTTGAAAAATAAAAATAAAATTAAACAAAATCATTAAACAAAATGCCTCTTGAGGCATGAAGTGACAAACTTTCAACATGTCTCCATTATAGAACCATTGTAATTTCAGGCGGATCTTTCCTCACAGCAGCAGCCGCACACCTTTAGTTAATCTGCCAAAAAGGCCACATTATTAACCCGAAAGTACACAAAAAGCACACTTCAGATGCTCAGGGTCCTTGAGATGCTTCACGCGTTGAAATTTCACCGATATCTGTTACGGTTCTTCAACAAAACGTTCACATGTAAGAGGCTTATCTCATTCATAACAATGGAAAGGCTCTTCTCTCACTGATTACTGCACATCACCATGGAAACCGTTTCCATGGAAACTCATCCCTCGCCATAAAACACGATGTCGCTGTAACTCTAATGGACACGGTCCGATCGTCCCCCCAACTTCGCTTGTATATCACCGGTCCATGCCTCAACAGCTCTACGCCAAATCTGAGATCTCACCATAGGCTGTTTCCATGTTTTCATCCCTCGCCATAAAACACGAAGTTGTCGTAACTCATATGAAAATGGCCAAAACACCAACAGACTTCAGATGACAGTTAATGGTCCAGCCCTCAACATGTCAATGTGCCATTAGTGAGTTTTCCTCAAAAGCTGTTGCCATGGCAACGCATCCCTCGACGTAAAATACGATATTGCTATAACTCCTATGAAAATGGTCAAAAAGTGCTCAAACTTCACATGAAGACATCAATTTGACAGTTTTAAGATTTATTCAAATGTTGTTGCCTTGGCAACACAATGCTCGCTATGAAACAGTTTTCGCATAACTTCCGTTAAAATGCTCCAAACGGCCCAAAACTTCACGATGCAGCCATCAACACATCTAAGCGTATTATGGGGTGTCATCAAATGCCGTTGCCATGGCGACAGATCATTCGCCATCAAGTTAGTTCAAAAGTTTGCAGTTCAAATATTCTGCTGCTTTTCCAAGCCTTTTTACTTTCTTTTCTTTTCTCATCACACATTCAAGCCTCCAGTGTTCATGTATCATTTCAATCTAAATTCTTCACTTTCTTCTTACACATTACATTTCAGCATAGCAGTTCATCATCAGCTTTTCAGCATAAAGCATTCCCACTAGCAATTTCTTCAGGAATTGCATTCTCTAGTTCTCGTTGTTACCCTCAACCTCTCTCCAGAGTGAATACGCTCTAATCCCTGTAGACTCAAGATGACTGAAAGTATGCAGGGGACTCTACTGAGAAAAGCAGGGGGGTCTCAAACTGATTTTAAAGCCCCCGTCAGCATCATGCGGTCCTGGTCTCCTTTATGTTGTCATGGTGACCGAGGCCTTAAACATTAGAAGTGGGGGAGAAGAGGGGAGGGGTCA